AAAGCCTCTCTCAGGATCATCTTATAAAACAAACATCTTGTCCGTTTCAGTGTTTCTGTTAAACTTTAACCTTGATCTCACAAAAAATGCATGAATATTTCAGTTTATAAGATTGACAAATCTACCAATCTGACAAACGGATCATACAGCTGTCCAGAGACAATTATGAAAATGTACTGCAAAAAAGAACATGCAAACAAAAAGAACAAAAAAAAGTTTTGCCAATCTCAAACTACAGGCAGAAAATGTTAGATAAATGAAAGATCAGGCATAATTTACAAAGAGAAAATGCCATACTAATTGTTGACTGACATGTCATTTGCAGCATTTTTTGTTTTAATTCTTGAACGTAAGATAACAACTTTTGCTTCGATCCACAATTTAATAGCTTAAATGACCTGACCATTTACTAGTTTAACCTTGCATACCATGAGGTGCATCAATCATGCTAAGCAGAATATTTTGCACCTCACTAGGTCTGCTGTTCAGAGCTCCTTTATCTATTGCAATTGTCACTATTCACCACTATTCATATGCAACAGATTCCAAATCAGTAAACAGAAAGTAAGAACTGCCGATGCTGGAGTCAGAGATAACACAGTGTGGAACTGGAGGAACATAGTAGACCAGAGGAGGAGGAATATTCACTGACTTATAGCTGCATTCAATTGTAGAGAATACAGATCCTAGCCACTGCTATTAAATAGCATTGCCATTCTGTTCCATAGTTTGGCAGTTTTGGTATTTTATATTTTGCTATAGCCTTATCTAACTGCATAACAGAATGACACAGTTTTCTAAATCTGAAGTATATCACATCATTGCTAACAGCATCATTGCTCTATAATTCAATAAAACAAGGAAAAATTGCACCAAGTGGAGATCCAAAATGAAACAAAAAACACAAAACATTAAAAAAAAGATACTAACTATACTGCTGAAAACAGGTAGGACAGATTACTGACATTTCAGTTGTGTAGCTTTCACAAGAATGCTGTACGAGCCCAGTTTCTTTTTCCTGGAAGACATTTGGGAAAACAGTAGAGGTCCAAAGAGACTTCAGAATCCAGTAACATTAATGTGTCAAGAATAGGCACAGATTATCATCAAAAAGGTGAGTAAAACATTAGATTTTATTTCAGGAGGACTAGAGTACAAGAACACGTCATGTTTCAGCAATAATAAAGCCATGATTAGACCACAGGGCATATTGTTAGCAGTCTGGACACCACACCACACCACAGGAACTAAGTATTGACCTTGATGGAACTGTAGTACACATTTAACAGAATGACCTAGACTCCAAGAATGAAATCACAAGCAGAGTTACATAACCTAGCGTTCCATCCCGAAATTCAAAAGGTTAATCGGCAATTCGTTTGACATTTTCAAGTTTTATAGGTGAGCACTTAGGGTTGATACCGAGAAACTATTTCGGCCAGTTGGGGAATCTTGGCTGCAGGCATAACTAAAACGTAGAGCCAGACCTTTCAGAAGCAAAATGCTGATACATTCTAAGGATGCCACAAGTTTGTTGTTCTCTTTCCCAAACAACTATTGATACTAGATCAATTCTTGAGAGTAAATCGAAGATAGATATATTATTGTTACCCCAGAGAAATGAGACAAGAAAGTGTCATATGGAATTAGATCACAGATTTAATTGAATGTCAGAACGACAGGTTAAAAGGCCTACTCCTGTTCCTGTGTTCTGAGGATACGGATTTATCACAGATTCTATGACGTAAAGCCACTGATGAAAACAAAAACAAGTCACTTTTGAAAGCACGTAAAAGCAAACTTAATGATAAATTCCGTTACAAATGTTACACATATAAAATTATTATTTTCCTTCTGAGTGTGGATAACATTTCTTCCCTCTACATAAAGCTCCTTTACTTTGTCTGATGGTAAGAAGTTGGTATCGCTAAACAACAGCTTCTTAATAATCGGAAGTACTTTCCAAAATTCCTTGATATGTGGTGCAAGTCTCAATTTAGCTTTACAAAACATAAAAACCATTTATAAATCAGCACAATTTCAGACTCGAAATTCAGGTGGACTTCAAATTAAAGCCCAAAAGAACTGGGAATGCTGGATATCAGAAACAAAAATAGAAATTGCTGGAAAGGCTCAGTAGGTCTGGCAGCATCTGTGAAGAGAAATCAGAGTTAACATTTCGGGCTCAGTGCCCTTCCTCAGAATTGAGAGCAGAACATACATCAAAAGTATAACCTATGGTAAAAATTGCACAAAAGATTGTGTTTGATTCAACAAATTAGCTTGATATTTAGGTCATCAAAATGGGAAGACAATTATTTATTAAGGCGCATCCAATGCTGACTGGGACTTAAAATGCCCATTTACCAGTTTACACTGGAGCCTGTGCATCTTCTGATTGTTAATTCCTGTGGAATTGCATGAGGGATAAGTGGTTGGGAGGTAAATTTTCAGACATAACCCCAGCAGGGCCACTTTCTTATAAAAAGTGTGCCTTCAGTTCACTGATTAAATGGAGCTGTCAACCTTGTACAGTTTCACCCTAAGAGTATTAATCTTTCCTCACATTCAACGATGTTCAACATGACCTTATTCAATGTTCCTCCTCTTCCATGCTGTCCTGCATGTTCATCCCTTCTTCCACACACACTTCTCAACACACAAAATGCTGTGAGACAGCAAGATGGGGGAGGGAGTGATAAATATTGCTGTGGGTTTTGGAGTTCTTTGACACTCCAGCTGATTTATTTAGTAAGTATAAAAAATGTTTGATCCCATTAAGCGCTCAAAACCATCAGTGTAAAAAATTGGCATTCAAAAGCGCATTAAAAGAAACACGATTCTCTCAATAGTTTGTGAAACAACTGAACAAAGTTAAAAGACCTGTTGACAGCTATGTAAACAATTCCTGCAGAGATGAGCCTATTCATAGGAGGTGGGGTTCAGCCAAGCATTCACTGGGGAATTCCATCTCTCAGCTGTGTAAACAAAGCCCTTGGAGCTGAATACATTGAAACATTGGGGCAACTTGATCTGATAGTTAATTGTTTCAGATGATTGATGTCTTTGATTGACAGATCAGCCATCTGTTCAGCCTGAAGCAATCCAACATATGTCTGTTCAACCTGTTTCAATGCATTCAACCTTAGAATCCTTATTAACAATTATGCAATGGAATCTCGTTACAAATGCTTGGTTAGTTCCAATTCCTACTTGTGGATTTTGCTCTCTGGGGGTTGTTTGTGCAGCTGTTAAGGGATTTTGACCTGTGTTTAACTGAGTTTTTTTGATCTGTTAAGGAGGCCAGTATTTCTTTGAAATGGTTTTTGAATGCTATTTATGTTGACAATACTATGAGCATTTAATAGCATTAAAACATTCCCCTCACCCCCTCCCAAGGAGAGTTTGAATGGTTGGTTATTTATTTTGATAGCTTCATGGACATTTCAAAGACTTCTCAGTTTTATGATAGAGCTCTCAAATTCTTTCCATATTGAGTATGTCCACATGCAGGATGTGTGTTGGATACACAGGTAACAAGGATGATGAGGTCTATCATCCTTACGGCTATGTACAGCACTGGAACAATATCTCAGTGAAAACTGCTGGCCTTGGCATCCTGCCTCCACTCTGCTTTCAGAGGCAGCAGTCCCAAGTATAATCAGTTCCCAACACCCAACAACAAAAATAGGGTGAGCTCCGCTGAAGAGGCCTTGGGAAATGCAATTCCTGCTTTGGGGATGAAAATCTGCATCGACCCCGCAATTACAAAATAACATTTGTGCAAGTCAATTTGGTGATACGTTTTCTACCCAGGTGGAGCAGTTAGAAGGAAGAATTTGGAAGAGACTCGCCTTGGACTATGGTAACCATAATGCACAGTAAAGGACAATTTTAGTTTTGGCACTGTTTATCCATCTTTATTTAAGTGCTCTTCCAGCTTCAAGTAATTTCCATTGGAAGTCAACTAGATGCACTAAGACTAGATTTTGTGTGAATGCATTTAGGGTCCTGTTACCATGATTCAATCTCAGATCATAATGTACACATTGAGGCAGCTAACTGTTCCCAACATAATAACAAGCAATGCAAGCTGGCATTTCAATGTTTTATTGAGTGTTGCATTGTGTTTTTAGGAGAGACATTAAACTGAATCCCTGTTGGTTTATTCAGATTGGTGTATTAAAATTCCATAACACATTTTCATTCAAGAAGTAGGAAATTCTCAGTTTTCTGGCCAACATTAATTCCTCACCAAACATCATCCATTGGGGTCAATAGAGTTTTTCCGTATGCTAATTAGTGCCAATAAACTAAATAGTGACGAAATCAAAAATAATTCATTGACTGTGAAGTAGTTTTGATAACTGAAGCCTCTACCAACAAAGATGGATTAGCTAGAGAAAGAAGCATTAATCCAATGACTGTATTTTGTTGAGTTCAGTAACTTTAGGGCAGTTACTATGTGGAGTATCCTCTATGTCAAGTGAACCAAGTGCTGATATTCAAAAGCTAAGATTGAAATAACAGCCTTCAGCTTTTATTATTCAGGCAAACTGAAGATAACCAGGTCCACTTCCCTGTTTAGGGTCTTGGTGTAATACACTCAGACTGTTCTCAACCTGCAATTCCACATTCCCTGACAGAAGGGTTGGTGTGATTTTTGTACTTGTTGGAATCTCACAGCAAAGTGCCTCCTAGGATTAAGTAAAACCAATACCAACAACTCATTGACCAAAACCAAGATCCAAAACTAAGTTTCTCATTAACAGTCAAATTGTAAACATGAACAACTTGCACCTCATTTGTCAATTTTAAGCTAAACGTGATTATACTGAGCCATAAACCAAAGAGATCATTAAAAACATTCTGTGAAGTGGAAATTTCCAGGACAGTCCAAGACTTTTGCTTTCACCAAGACAGTTTAGGAGACAGACTTTATTTAGACATTTGTAAGACAGATGGTTATTCCCTGCTGAGTATATTTTAATAGTACTTACATATATTTCACTATGGTCAAAGCGATTTTTGAGATTTTCTAAGAACGTGTCTTCAGTGAGAGGTTCTAAAAGCACACTGTCCCCAACCCCTATCATGTTGTCCAGGAGAGACGTTTTCACTTCCGATTTTGGCATTTTCCCCCTGAAAAAAAAATTTAGATCTGAAGATGTATTTTTCCATTCATACAATAGTTGTTTTCTAGTAATCAACATTCCTCTGGCATTGGGAGGTCTGGCACCATTACAGACATTATTAACTTTTCAAACAAACAGAAGTCAAGTAATATAGGGGCAAAGCAGAATTAAGGCAGAAGATCAACTGTGACCTTACTAAATGGTGGAGCAAGCATGAAGAGCCATATGATCTATTCCTGCACCTATGTTCTTACGATCACACTTATTTGTAGCTTGGAAAGATCCAAGTGAGATTATAGAATAACTGTTGTCAATGTGGCTAAGTTTTTTTTTTAAAACCAAGGTGAAACAAAATTACTCACCTTCAATTATATTAAGCACAGAAAGCCAAAAAAAAATACAAGTATTGCCATTCACTATATGAACGCTGACTCTCATGGCTAGTCACTTATACCATATTTTCAGCTGTGCCAATTTTAAGATTTTATTTTCAGACCAGTTTCAGATTCGTAGTAAATTCCAAGTTTCTGACAACCCGATTAAGGCATATTGTGAACAAAATTGGCACATTTTAAAAGGTCATATTGGAGGTGGTAAGATATTACATTGTTGCACCTTTATAATAATTATAGGCAGGACATGCATATTAGAGTTGCAAAAGTCTACAGCAATAAACGTTGCACCCACAACAATGCCTTTCAGAAAGCATACTCCCAATGACACCACACATCACAAAACTACAAACCAGCACAAAGAATGGCTAACACCTCTCCAGCTGATAACCAACCATATTGATTGATTAGTATATCCCACTGGAAAAAAAACTTGATGTTCAGTCACTGGCACAGCAGGAAAAAGTTTGCAAATAGCCTTTTTTTAAAAAAACCTTAATATCCAGAACAAAAAAAAAATCATTTGTATCATTGAAGTTTTTCACTTTACTTTGCATTACAATTTTTCTTCCTTATTGAGTCAGTGATGCAGCTAAAAATGGAATTTATCACAAAGACAAACAATGGTTAAAATTTTGCTGAAGCTGCTCTCATTTAGCCAAAAAGTGCAGCCGAGACTTTAATTGCCTATTCACATGACTTCCATCACCCACATGACCAAATTACAATGAACAAAAAGAGAATAACTTACAGCCATTAAAAAAGGCAATTCTGAATAACAAAATCGCCAACTTAAAGTCAGTGATATAATAATTGAAATGTCAACAGGAGATTCATTTTGCACACGCCTGCTTTTACAAACAATTCCACGAGCTCTGCTTCAATTTCATCTTTGCTGCCGGAATTTCCCAATTCCGGTTGACAAAACTGCTGTGCGTACACAAGATGGATCAGGGAACTACCAGAACAGACTATGCTGCTATGAAAACAACTGTACCATAGTCACTCAGCATAAAATGAAGCAGAAAAGAAACTTGGAAATTATAACTCCTCTCGGAATATAGTGCACGTTCGACTGTGAAACACAAAAAGCTCTTAGATTTGATCATGCTGTTGTGGATGCACCATGCCCATTACAACCAAGAAGAAAAGGTATAATTAATAGTTGCAAGGTATAACTATTATCAAGTACTTGCAAAGCTTTATATCATACTTAAATGAAATTCTGAAATAACAACGTCAGAGGTGCTGATTTTTGTGCCGTGATGATCAATGTTTTCATGATAGGATGGGTTTCAATTTCTTAGGTTGTTAGATTCAGACACTTGACCCAAAGCAACTAACCATCTGTTGAAATACTGTTTATTGGAGACCCCAGAGTGGGTAAAAAAACTTTGCAGTCTGACCTGAGTGATCAAAATTGTATGCAGTGCTCCAAATGTGATCTCGCCAATGTCTTGTACAGCCGTAACACGATATCTCAACTCCTGTACCCAATGCTCTGGCTGATGAAAGCAAGCATGCCAAACGCCTTCACCACCACCCTGTCTACCCGTGATGCCACTTTCAAGGAACTGTGTACCAACACCCCTACGTTTCTCTGTTCAACGACACTCCCCAGGGATCAACCGCCAACTGCACAAGCCCAGCCCTGGTTTATCTTACCAAAGTGCAATGCCTCGCATTTATCTGAATTAAATATTGCCACAGGTCTATTCATTTAAAATGATCTGCCATTCCTTGGCGCACTGGCCCGGTTTATCAAGATCCCATTGCACTCTTAGATAACCTTCTTCACTGTCAACTATACCACCAATTTTGGAGTTATCTGCATATTTACTAACTATGCCTCCTATATTCTCAACCAATGTTTATATAAATTATAAACAACAGTGGACCCAGCACCACCACGAGTCATAAATCTCCAGTCTGAAAAATAACCCTCCAATACCAGCCTCTGTCTCCTACCATCAAGCTAATTTTGTATCCAATTGGCTAGCTCTCCCTGGATTCCATGTGATCTAACCTTGTTAGCCAGTCTACCATGCAATATCTTGTTTTACCATTGTGTAAATTATATTGACAATTGTAAAAAGACAACATAAGTGAAGTACCAGGTAATAAACTAATGCTGCAAACACATTTTAACAGTTGGTTCAACATTACAACAGTGCCAAGTATTCTGCTGTAGAAGAATAAAAGGATGAAACAAAGAAATCTAAAAGTAGTTGTCTAGTCCTAATTGTGCACTCATTATTTAAATCACAAATCATTTTAAATGAATAGACCTGTGTCAATAATTTCCAACATGCAAACATATAATTCTTCAAACATGAATGTGACACATGCATTTCAATATTTTAAACAAAAGCACAATTCAAAAGTAGAGACACTGCTTAATTTCATATTATTTCAAGTATTATAGGTACATTTGTGCATGGTTGTGGAAACACTCCACACACAGCAATAGGGAATGCGTTGAGCTCTGACGCTTAAACGCAAAATTCATAGCATTCCACAGCAATGATGTGCCTGGTTAGTATAAAATATCAATAATGGACTGTGTTGCTCTCACACTTATTTCCAAGAGCTGTAGTCAACAGCTTTCACTGTATATTGATGCATTTCTGACTTTAATAGTCTTTAACAGCAGATGGAGAATAACCTCAACCCTTTTGTTGAATACTTGCTTTCTGTCCACAAATACAAGTTTATCCTTCCTGTAGATTTCTACATCAATTTCCATTTTTGGACAGGCCATTTTATGCCATGGTCACTTCCAGCAGGAAGCACCAGAAGTTGTAAGCCAAGCAAGAAACTCAGGGTGACTTCCAAAGACTGTCCCACCAAATTTGACTCAAGTATCAACACAAATAAACTTGAATGGTGCACAAGTAAATTAAGCATCTTGCAATCATGATCTGAACACTGACTTTATGAATCAGATCATGGCTAAAAGTAATCCTCCTAAAGTAATGGTGTTCCAAAGTATTTGAAGAATATTGCGATTTAAATTTGTAGTATTTTGTAATTAGTTGGGAACTTGAATTAGAATTGAGAAAAAATAGACTTTGACTTTGTTATGAAGACTATTTTTTTAAAAAATCAAAGATCCAAAAGTCAGTTAATTGCTAAGTATTTACAAAGTTGCACTTTATGCTATAGAAACAGATGGTCAGCAGCCAGTAGTAAGTGGAGTTTAGAATAGGAGAAGACAACCTAGCAAATGATTCATTTCTTTAGAAGTCTCCAGATTGTGAAAGTTTAATTCATGTAAGTCACCAGGCTGAGAGAGTTAGTTGAAATCTCCAGAAATGGTAAGTAGCATCCAGACTATCAAAGAGGTCTTAACCTAGTTCAACTGTCCAAAAAGACTTTTTCTAGAAAGAGTTAATTGAGTCAGAAATAAATGAGTTAAGAAAGGAGTGATACTTTTCTGGGACTGAATGACTGTAAAGAAAATCGCTGGGAACAGTGTTGATTTTCTTTATTTTTGCTGTTTATGTTAAGATATATCTTTGCTTCTTTTCCCCTTTTTGGTGTAAAAACTTTGTCCTTGAGTTAAAAGAACATGGTCTTTCAACTATCCACTAAGATTCTGTGAACATATTCAGCTATTGACCGCCATAGTAACCCAATGCCAAAAATAAAACTTGTAAAGTATCAAACCAGGTTTCAGTCCAAGATCTGACTTGTCCGCTATTACAAGCAGTGGGAATCGTAACAATAGCATGGAGCTGGGTGGCACGGAGAGTGTGCATACTTAATAAAAACATATCCTGGCAGTAGGGATGGACAACATTCAGGATGCTGCCTGTCATTCCCTATTTTGTCTGTTCATAAGTCTGCTTTATATTTGTGGTAAGTTTCTGTTTGACTTCAGAAGTCTTGCAATGTGGTTATTTTTCTTTCATTTCACCAACTTTAGCTCCCATGGTTTTTAAACATCTTATTTATTTCACACGCATTTGCTCTTTCAATGTCTTTCAATATCCACCATGATAAATCCTCAACGAACAGACTTCACCTCGCTCCAGCTTTTCAGAAAATTCTACTTAGGTATTTCACCCATCATCTTTCTACCCTGCCTTTCCACCACTACCACCCACCCACTCAATTTAATTTAAGAACTCAGTTTTCGGTGGGAGTCTACACCCAAAACATTAACTTGTGATTAACATTTATAGATGCAAATGGAACTTGTGTATATTTCCGTCTCACGTTTTTATTATATAACCCTTCTTCAACATTACATAATATTTGTTTTAAGCTATCCTTCCTATGATGCACACAGTTTCCAAATTGAAAGAATGTACAATCTTTCTTTTATACTGGTCAACACCAGTCATGTCAGCTATTAATGGAAAAGATATAACCAGTAACAAAGTGATAACTTTGCAGTGGGCCACCTAGTTATTTGGCAGCAAAGTGAATAGGAGTGCACCACAGAGGAAATTGCAGGCAAAAAACTTAGCTCCGCTACTCAACAGCTTACACTCTGCAGTGCTTAATATCTATCCTTCAGTAGCAACAAGTTAACTAGCCTTATAGGAGTTTCAAAACAAAATACATAACCGTATGATGGTTAAGGCGGCTACAAAACAAAATTTAGAAC